TTGCATTTAAATGTATATAATTAGTCCACGTGGCTGAACAAATATAATGTACAGGTATATTTTGTATGGTTGTTTATTAAAACTGCATGACATATAGTTAAGTTATATTAATAGACGAATAGATGTAATTTGGCTTGTTTACCTATTTTAACATGTTTAGAAACAACTAAAACTTCTCATTATTCAAAACGTCTAACTGTACCAAATAATTATTATTGCTCAATTTCCTCATAGAAATATGTGATCATAGATTCCTTCGATAGTCGGTGCTGTGTTGAAATATTGAATTGAAGGACTATGACATCGGTCCTCTTCACCAAAGTATATTGTATTTTTCTTTAATCTATATCACAGCAAACTACTTAAAAGACGTGTACAGTTTCGTGATATTTTTATTTTGGTTTAACCTCCTCCTAACAGCTAGGGTCATATAAAGACGTGTACCTAAGGTGACACCGCCGAAAGGGAAGAACAGGGAAGTGAGAGAAGAAAAGACATATACCACAAGTGTTACAATAGAAACAACAGATTAGGGATGGACTACTCCTGGTGGGAATAGGTCTTTAACACTCCTTCTACCTGTTGTGGCATTAATATCAAGATTGCAATGTTTGAAGCAGTCTTCTCGTTAATATCCAATCGACAGAGGAGTAACGTTTTACCACTACAGCTTTGTGAAGCTTCTTATTTTACCAATATGTTTTTGTCAGAAATGCGTTCATTGACAAAAGCGTTAGTCACTTTAGTTACTCCGCTTTCAATTATTTAATTGTCTTTTGTAAACATAAGAAAATGTAAAAGAGTATTTGCATATTTTAATAAAAAATAAAAACATCACGAAGTAAAGAAGACAGAATAATGATACTTGAGTATAATAAGCTTGATCAGTACATAGAAATGCATACAAAAGTTTGTCATACAGAAATTATCCGGTTAGTCTTTTCATAAGTCTGTTAAAGATAGTTCATGTTGAAAACCAATAAAATTAAAAATATTTTGAATGACGTACTTTTTCCTATAGTGTTGACTTATTTTTAACCTGACATTGTTAAGAGCTTCACAAAAATAAATCGTGAATATCTTATCATAGCGATACTAGATACGAATTGTAACAAAAAATATATAGGTTATCATAACATAACTTTTGTGCTTAAAAGACTAATAACAATACTTTGATCATAAACTTTAACTTATCAAACAAGTTGCATACACACACAAAAACAGAACAAAAGAGTATGTGTGTCATTAAAACAAAACTTATCAGAACAATACCTTTGTCATAACATCAAAACTCATCGAACCAGTCTCTATAGCATTCACTAAAATTCATCAGAAAAATCATTATGCGTAAATCAAATATATTTACATTTGCATGGCATTGTCACTATATAGCCTCTTTGAAAGCTGTGTCGTTGATGGGACTTTAATTACCATGCATCACGAGACACAATTCTTAGCGTATTAATACAACACTAACCGGAACTACAATATCCAATAAAAACAAAACAACATGACGTTTGCTGAAATATCGCTGGGCATTGTGAGATTTGACAATACCATTGTATATTTATGTGCAAAATAAAAAATAAAATAAAAAACACTTTTATTACAACGAAAACAAGACATTTAGTCTGCCATATCGTACAAAATGCACATCGGTTGAAATCACCAATGCCGGCAATAGAAACAATTTTAACGCTCATGCAGTTTATCAGAAATATCGTCTGTTACACTGCACTGATCAACAGGTGTTCGTTACACATGTCTGAAATACACATATTATATAGACCTACTGACACATATGTTACAGACCTACTGATATGAGTCACAGCACACATAAACATTTCAGACATTTGTAACGAACCTGTGCTCCGTCGCAAGATCACTCACTTCAAACGCTATCTTTCACGCGTCTCGCATCCACCATTCCTCAGTTTCTGACGACATGTCAAATAACGAGGATGTTATAGAATCTACCGACTGTTGTCAGGTTCCCATACAATCAACTAATACATTCACGCGTGGATTCTTCACAAAATGAGCAAATAGAAAAGTTCGAATTAACTTCCAAAAATAACTCCCTCGTGGAGGGCAAGGTCGGATTTATGGTGTTCACTGTATTTGTCCATGCGCGAAATTTGTTCCGGGGAAAAATTGAAACAATTTCAAATATAACTTTCAGCTCAGAGTTCTATTAATAAACTTAAATCACCCTATAGACATATCATACGCAATTGTATTGATACTGAATTGTGAAATAAAATTGAAGTGTTTGTTAAAATTTCAAAGTACTACTTTGTTTGCCTATCAGCACGCGACAAAACGCTGTTCAAACTATTGAACGAAATTGTGTGGACTGTCGATAAGGCGGGGATTTTTAATTTTAAATATAAATTATAAGTTAAAAAAGAACATAAGAGGCAGAGAAAACGTAAATATAAGTTAAGTATCACAGCATTAACATTGTAATCTACAAAATATTAGCAAAATAAAGAACGGAATATTCGATACATATTTAAAAATCAAAACATTTAAAAAAAAATTGTGTCTGCTCTAATTCAGTTTGATAACTGTGATAATTATCATCGATGATAATACACAGTACATTTAATGGTTTTACCGTTGAATACCACATATATTTCAAGAATTTGGCAGAATATCGATATTTTTCACAAGTTTGAAGCATGTGAAAATATAGGTTAATCATGCCATGTATGCAGAAAATACAACGTGCTTTACGAGATAATCGTTAGACTTTCCTTTCATCACATTCTGTATGTACAATGGCAAACAAACAAATACAAAAATATCAATACATCCGAAGTTATTAGGTAATTATAAACGTAATATTTGACGCCATGTTATAATTGCGTCACGCTTGACGACACGGTTGTGCATCGTGTGATGGGGTTCTCGACAAATTCTATAGATTTCCGATCAGATATATTCAATCGATTTCATCAACTCTGTAGATACGTAACTCGTAGAGTGTATAGCAATTTCGCAAAAGAACAACCCCTAATTCTACCGTTGCTTCAACTGCATCTGAAATTGCAAATCTGCAAAATTGAAAAACAGTGGATAAAACGTATCATTCTGATTGGTCAATGATGAAAGTGATGTATTCAAATGTAAAGATATAACATTATGTACACAGCAGTGAAGATATGATTTTAACAAAAAGATATGTTCAGACATTTCACTTGTAAACTGTAGTAAATCATCAAAACGCATTGTCTGATTTCGACATTTCTAAAATCGATTTGCTGAAAATGTACCGAGTTATCTCCCATTAATTACCATTGATAGGCGGTGATATTTGATCCTTGCATGAGTGATGTATCAATCAAATACTACTTTAAGGACAATCATCAAGCCCATTTAATCAATAATATACCAAGTACCTGTATTGATGTTTGATACTTGATGCACGTGACATATGTGCACGATTTACCCAAAAAGACCCAAAAATATCCCAAATGACCCAAAAACACCACAAAAACACCAAAAAACTCACTTCAAAACGTTTCATTTCCCTATTTCTCTTATGCTACATATTTATAGATTATTGTATTAGTGAATCACAACATGATCCGCTATCTCTTCAGATATTGCTTTTCGCAAATGGACATGTTGTGTCATTCATAAGTTTAATTTTATTTAATGTCATAAATTCTTCATTTCCCATTTTCCTTAGGTTATTTTATAATATTTACATTTCCACTGCACAGAGCCTAGATGTTTCTTCTGGGCCTAATGTATGTTATTTCCGTATAACAAACATTGGGCCATAGTGTGTCGTATCTGTAAAGTTGGAAATTGCACTGCTCCACTGTCAACTGATGGCTGTTCTCTGTATGAATTTACCCTGACGTTGAAACGTGTTCAGACTAATATTATGTCTTTCAACATAAAATGTAAATATAAGTATTGGTTGTCATATTTTTGACATGCATTGGTGTGTAACATACATTGGCTTACCTACACATTTAACATGGTGCGCGCTACCAATCCTTAAGTGTTGTTTAAATTCCAAGTATTTAGGATACATGTTTTTCCATTATTTACGTGGAAGATATCTCTTAGGATATTTACCTTCCATTATTCACGTATAAGTAAACCTGATCCGCTTAATTTGGTTTATTTGTTTAAAATAGTGACAACTTCTGCAAATGTATTTTCACATCTTTTAACAATCTTATTTATTTGTATCGTTGTATTTGTAATCTATGTATATATGATTATCAAAATAAATGGTTATGCTCAAATAATCTGACCCTGAGTCTATATGTGTTTAACAATGCTGCCATCTGTAACATCGCGATGCAAGGGAGGTAACACAGATACCATACTCTCTTAATTTCGAATTGAAGGACTTGACAGTTGATGCCGAAAATTAGGTTACTACATTATAATATTAACAGAACAATTTTTAAGTGTCGTCTGTGGTTTTTTGTGGTCTTATCTGGATGTTTAAAGGTGTTTTGTGGGTGTGTTGGGGTGTTTTGGGGGTGTTTTGGGATAAATCGTGCCACCCCTTCATCAGAGCTGTTATAATGGTGTTTTTTGTGTTCATTTCTTCTACGAGTCTTTACCTTACTTCAGTCTTTAATTGTGCAAACGTCCATAGAAAATATCAATTAACAACCTACTTAGAACAGTAGTATGGCTCGCGTTTTAAGTTACAAAGCTCTTGAATGAACAATGTTAAAACCAAACAAATGAAGTTTCCGCATAACCAACACAATAGGTATAACAGGGTACCCTTATCACCGAGGAAACTCCGTATCATTTTATGTATGTACGGTAAGGTTGGACTCTTGACAGCACTATATTACCATAGCGAATGGAGCTCTATAGTACCAATTCAAGTCGATCCTTGATACATGTAAGCCACTTATACCAATTTAAACGACGTCTCTCGTAGACCCCATGCAAGAGTTCACTACAAAACAACAGAGTAATATATACCCAATAAATAAAGAAGTCGTCTTATCACAGTTTTGAAATCAACCTACAAGGGGTCATAGTATCACAATATAAGGCGATCCATAGTCACTATTACAAGTGGACATGTTTTAATCTCGCCTACAAATGGGAGCCGTATGGATTGTAATTGACAGCTATTCTTCCTTCTCGTTTATAAGGGATTCGTTTTGCGGAAAATAAATGTCATACTAAGAATTAATTAAATGCAAGGTTTGTCTGTCTTGTAAGCAACACTTTTTGTCTTTGTTGTTTGCTTTCTCGGCGGGAAGCATCTGTTTCTGGTTCGAATGTTTTTTGCTCCGATAGTTCTGGCATGTTTGTAGAAAATAGGAATATCAGAAAGTACCATAAAACCGATAATTAAGGAGATAAAAATGGCGCCGATTATCCCCATACTCATTGCGCTCGGTCTGTCTTCGTATATACTGATGAACTTCCGGCGGTAGTTTCCGGTATCTTTTTTTTCCACTCGGAGTTCCTCAAACACGAGTGTTGGTGTGGTTGTAGTGATTGGTTCCGTAGTGGTGGTCACTTCCTCTGTAGATAGAAAACGTAAAATTGACCGTCATCACGAGAGATTGACCAAATGCAACTTAAATTTACTAAAGAAATGATATCAAAACTCGTACAAACTTTAGTAAATCAAATTCATATGAAAAGCGCGTATGTTATTGATGTAAAGTCAACTATCATGAAATCAAAGTTATCATGTCCGTTTCATGTTTTAGTTGTGATTTGCTACTAGTATACTTGTCAAACTTTCGGTGAAGGGTCAGATGGTTTTACATGGGGGAAACTAAGTAATTTTATAGTAAGGTCCATCAATGACGGATTTATGAATGGAAAATTATCTATAACTCAACGACAGGGTATAAGTACATGTCTACCCAAGGGAGATAAACCCTGGCAGTTTTTAAAGAATAGGAGGCCAGTTTCATTACTAAATATAATATATAAAATAGCATCTGGTTCAAAAGTAAGTAGAATCAAGTAGAATGTTTTAGATAAATTAATAAATAGGGATCCGACTGGTTTTATTGCAGGGAAGTATACAATTTTATATACTAATGCAATCTCTTCTATTAATCAGTGAGGAAATCTTTCAAGTTTTTTCGAAATAAAGAGGGGCTGTCGTCAGAGCGATCGCACCTTATATATTTATTCTATGTGTATAAGTACTAGCTATAAGATTTAAACCTAATAAGAATATTAAAGACATTAATGTAGATAATGTTCCTATTTATTATCTCAGTATGCAGATGATACCTCAATTATATTAGATGGTACAAAAAGATCTATGAAAGAATCATTTAATGAATTAAACAGTTTTGCAAAAAATCCGGATTAAAAATAAATAAAAGTAAAACCCCAGTTGTTTGGATTCGCAGTAAAAAATATAGTAATGATACTTACTTTCCAGAGTGGAACTTACAATGGGGAATTACAAAATTAACAGTTTTAGGCATTGAATTTAAAGTGGACTTGCACCAAATTCCAAAACTAAACTATGATAAGAAATTAATAAAGCATTAATTAAAATATGGAATAGAAGGATTTTAACATCAATATGAAAAATGCATATTATAAAGTCCCTTCTTATATCACAGTTTAATCATCTATTTGTTTCTTTACCAAACCCAGAAGAATGCTTTATTAAAAAACTGAATACTGAACTTTGTAATTTGTTATGGAACAGTAAATCAGATAAAATAAAAAGAGACACTGTTATTAAGAATTACTGGAAATGGGACTCAAAATGGTGCATTTACAACCATTTATAGAATCTTTAAAATTAACCTGGATTAGGAGGCTATATACAGCAGAAGGAAAGTGGCAGATTTTTGTTAGTTATATGGAAATAGAAATATTATAGCTAATTGTAGTACTGATTAAATGTTAAAATACCAGAAGAGTTGTTGAATATATTTTTGGAAAGATGTGTTATTGAGTTGGCTCAAGCTAGCTGAAAAAAGTTGTAAATGTTGGAAACAAAAAGGTAAATATTCTCAAATCAACCATTTGGTATAACAAATCAATAAAAATACAAAACAAGAGTATATTCTATAGGGAATGGTATAGGAAAGGGGTAACAATAGTTTATGACTTAATTAACAAAAGAAGAAATAAATTGTTTTACAGGCATCAAGAGTTTACAGAGATATTTGACATTCATACAAATTTTCTTACTTATCAAAGTATCATAAATTCCATAAAAAATCCATTTCACAGGAGGATGTTTCTGATTTGAATGTAGATTATCCATATATTCCAATTAATTTGGAAATTGTTCTTAAACACAAAAACTAAAAAATATGTACCGGTAGAAAGAAGTGGGAGGAAATATTTGAATTTAACACAGATATATGAAGGAAAATCTGTTCCATTCCCTTTAAAACTAGAACACTGACAAGTCAGTAAGGGCCCCGTCTTGTGGCAATATATTTGAAAAATACAAAACTTGACCTTGACGTTGAACCTTTGGACCCCGTAACCTTAGCGTTAAATCAGTTGACTCCTTATTAAATTCCGACCAACTTTGCTTCAAAGTGTCATATCAAAATGTTAAGCAGTTAAAAGATACAAAATCTGACCTTCATTTTTGACCATGTGACCTGACCTTTAGTCAATTGGCTCCTTGTTTAATTCCGACCAACATTGCTTCAAAGTGTCATAACAAAATGTTAAGCAGTTAAAAGATACAAAATCTGACCTTGACCTTTGATCCGATTACCTTGACCCTAAGTCAGTTGACTTCTTTTTGTATTGTGACCAACTTTGCTTCATAAAGTCATAACAAAATGTTTACCAGTTAAGAGAAAAAAGAATGATTTTTTTAATGTTAAAATCCAATTTGGATGATAAGCAGCCATTTTGAATCCGATCTGCCCGAAAAATTACTAAGCAAAACTAGGATGCATGTGAAATCATCATGTACAATTTTAAAAACATAACCCATTTACTTCCATCAATATTGTGCAAAAGAAAAAAACCGGACAGACGGAAGGACGGACGGACAACCTTATTATTAGAGGGCACCCACATTCACGATGCGGAGCCCTAATTAGTAAAAACCCAAAACTACAGTGGCTTCAATTTAGAATCAATCAACATATTTTAACTACTAATTCATATCTTTATAAAATAGGTCTTGTTAAACTAACACAGAAACTATAGTTAATGCATTATGGGAATGTAAAGAAATACAAGTGTTTTAACAAATTGTGAATCATTGCTAGATGTGTAATTAATTCCCTTTGGTTTTAATAAAGAATCTTTTATCTTTGGTTTCTATGATAGAAAAAACAATGTTGATAATTTAGTACTTCTTATCATTAAACTACATACTTATAAGGCAAACTGGTCTATCAGTTTTAGCTTTGAAAAACCTAATTAAAGATATTTACAATACTCAAAAATACATTGCTGTAGGTAATGGTGAACATTTTCTCGCTAATTTTAAAAGGAATTGGAAAGAAATGGGAAAGATTATTGCAGGCCATATAACTGAAATGGAAATTAATTATAATAATATAGTACCAATGTAATTCCTGTCAATAATCTGTTTGTTTCCCAACTACAATGCATATGATTATATTCTATGTTTCAAACTTATATAGAAAATAATTGTTTTTCTGAATTGATATCTAATTTGATGTAATAATTATGAGAATGTTAAGAAATGGCAAGGCAAGCAAAAATCTGGTGTAAAAATGTGAGACTGAAATATACTGTGTTATGTTTAATGTACTGTTAAAAAACTTAAAGATTTTTTATTTTTTTTTAAATCTGTAAATTTCACGAGTTGGTGCTAGCAAAGAGGATTATGTGATGATTAAAACGTACGTTCACATCATATTGAGAGAATTTTACAGGGATTCCACTCCTGTAATTTATCGTTTTCAACTGGTAATACTTTTTCTCAGCAACATGATATTTCAAATAAGTAACCTCAAACATCGTTTAAGATTCGGAGGAAGGGATGTCGCCTGCCTTTTCCCCACTGAATGACCGTAAGAGACGACCAGTGTGGAACGCATAATAATCAGGATTGCCTGTACATTGATATTGGGACAAAGAAGAGATGAATGTTCCCATTGTAATACCTACAACATTATCATTTTAATTTTATAAGATTTTGATACAATTTTCCGTAACCGAAATGTCACCACTATGATTTCGTTAACAACGTATACACGCAGTCAACTATTGTCAGATAATGATACACATCGACATAGCATGATGATAATATTGATATTCAATAAAACATTCAATCAAATAGTGATAAAATAAAATATGTTAGCAGATATTGAAACAAGAATGTATGTCAGATATTTAGTATTTTGGTTGAGTGAAATACTGTCGTAAAATGTATCAAGTACTTTTGTCTTTACCCTCATAACGTGTATTATCTATAACTTATATCAAGTGTTGATATTTCATTGTTGTTGCAGATAAAGAGAAATCGGTCTCAACTAGGATAAAAATGCTTGATGTTTTTATAAAGTTGACATGTAAATGTTTAAAGTCGGATCTGCTTCAGCATTTAGATAGAGACAGATTTCAGTGCATATATTATTCAATAACATTATACATAGCGTACCTTTTAAACATTTCTTCATGAATAATGTACGTTTCCTCGTGTTCGGGTCGAGAGCTTTGAAGGAGTCCGATAGGTCATTGTGTAAAAAGTAAAGACGGCATGCGCCAGACAGAGGACTGAACGTGTCCACAAACCAGCAACCCTTGTGCATGGCGCTACCAATACACAAGTTCTTACACTCCACCTCTGTCCCGTGCACATCAAGCGTCGTGTCTACCAAGTTCTTCGCTCTTTCCAGGTCGAGCACTCCAATGGTTTCAAAGTAACAATCACCTGTGAAGAACGTTTCAATGTATGTTGTTCGTAAGCGAGAAATACGTCAGCTTAACATTATAGTTCATATTTTGTGTCATAAATGAGTAGATTTACTGTATAGTGGGAAATGTTTGCCTTTCGACAGTTCAATTACTATGTATATTTTGATGCTTAAAAATATTTGCTTCAAAGATAAATAGGAGAAAATTAAACTGCAGCGAAATGTTGCGTTTACATTAATACTAAGTGGTCAATATAACATATTTTGAGGAAAGATAATTTAATTACTTAAGCATACTACGGTATAAACGGTCATCAGGTGGGTATCAACTGTATTGTCCTGTATAACACTTACGTACGTTGTACCACAGTTGAATCCTAATTAGACAGAATGGCTTTACTGTGCAGTAGAGTGTTTCCCTTTTCTGTCTGTATGTTTGAATAGGCGTTTCCTTTCCTCGTATACCTACTGATTTACGCAACAATGCGGTTGTCTACACGGAAGTTAATATTGTAACATTATAAATGGTTAATACCTTTCTCTGTTTGCTTTATTTTACATATATATATTTCGAAACACTTCAGACATTAAGTTTTCATTCTTTTAGTATCATTGTTCAGTCATAAATAGACAAAAAAAAATGGCCAGCACTAACCATGGACCAGATACTAGGTTTCGAATTTGAAATTCGTCGATGACCTAATCACCTGACCTAGCATGATATGGTATAGATTTGCTATGTACGTCAATACATAAATCTATTTTAGGTAGAAAACGTCGTAAATAAGTTTTTAATGTTTAAAAGATGTATCAACCTACTAAAATATTAAAGTACAATGTATCGAGTTTCCACTGGACAGTAATATCATGTTTGTCAAATCAGTAAACAGACATGAAATGTTTTTAAAGAGGACAACATTAAAACACTACAAAATGAAACCGTTTGGAACTATATTTCAGTATTTGAACATATATCTTTAAATGGGGATGTGGCTACCGGGAAACGTGCGGTACATGAGTACTCGGACATACACTAGTACTATCGGAATGAACACAGCAAAGTTAATGTTAAAAGCCTATTGTTTGGAGGAATATTGAAACATGAAAGGCCATTGTTTAGAAGTACACTTGACGAATATGATTCAATGTATAGTCGACATCACCACAGGATGTCCAAACCTACTCCTGCCCATACATCACATGTGTAGGTTGATATGGATGATCACATTTGTAATACACTATATACAAATATTACTTTAAATACCAATTAAGTAAGAAAGCACCTATCTAGAGTTCAGTTTGGAAAAGTAAAGACAATCAATATAAACATTCTACTGCACCATATGGTAACTTCGTTCATTGGGGTTTATTTCTAAATCGTTTACTTTAGTAAATTCAATATCAGCAAATTCTATGGGCAGATGATCAATATATATATATACCATCTGTACAATGGACCAGATACTGTTTCAGCATCAACAACGATGTGAAAGGTTTTGAATTTGAAATTCGTCGATGACCTAAACACGTGACCTAATATGAAATGGTATAGATTCTCTATATACGTCAATACATAAATCTATTTTAGGTAGAAAATGTCGTAAATCAGTTTTTAATTATTTAAAGTTTCAATCGAATGTGTAAACCTACAAAAATATTAAAGTGTCTCTGTGATCGATAAATGAGCGGATTGCTCCGAACATTTGACATCATATTGTCTCCACTGTAAGAATTAGTTCTATGTCTCACATACAATGCACATTGTATACCATATTCTTTAATAATACATATTTAATTTAGCCTAAATTGGTAATATTTCTAGCTGTTGAACGTTTGCACATTATAATGCATATGTATAAAGTAAGTTGCTGAGCCGTAGAAATTGAATATTGGCAAAGGTTGTAAGTCAGACACTAACTAATTTCTTCCAACTAAATAACTTATTTCAATATCAAAACCAATATATATGTATTTTAATAATATTTTTTTATTTAATATATACAAAAAACAGCGATGGAATCCCTACATATAGTTGAAATAATTACTTTCAGTGTTTCTTGAAAACAATTGTATCATGTTGTCATGATGTAATTTACCTATGACTGGACACTTGGTGTCTGGTTCGCTCACGTTGGCGAAGGTGTCACCGGAGTCGGGCTGACTCTGCTCGTCAAGTACGGCTTCACATGGCGGAATAAACAAAAATAGCTTATTAGTCGGTGCTTTTAATAATAACGATGCCTATTTAGTGTATCAATAATATTGACATTGATTTATTTTGTATGTGATTGAAAGTATCACTATAAAAGAAGTTGTTTTGAAATCGTATTAATCAATGTGTAAATCCGAGGCAACCGTAGTACCCAAACAAAAACAGCGAGGCGGGGCATGTGACCAACTACTTTTAGCATCCGATTGCGTCAATCGAATTTACGGCGTGAACGTACTTACAACCTGTCGTACACTTTCATCTATGTAGCGTTTTCTGTACAATTATGATAACTTTTTTTGTGTTTTTAACTTTAGGAATGTTAATAGGTATTAAGTTATATATTATAGAGATTCACCAACGAGTGGTGGTTGGTTATTATGTTAATCTGACTCGGGGTTTACCTAGTGTCTTTTACAAATTGAAAATTAACTAACGAGAATCAGATAAACATGATAATCAAACATTACGCGTTTGGAGACCTTTTTCTGTCTCAACATTCAGATAAGATATCTCGAAAACGATAAACACATTATTCCTGTTTCCTTTCTAGGAAATAATTGCCATGAACTATCACGTCACAATGGAAAATGACGTCGCAAAGAATTACTACTCGACCTCATAATTAGAAGATTGACCAATGAAATAACACCCAGGGTGTTAATCATTAATGGGTAACCGAAATGGTTACCAACTCTAGACAGGTTTATCCAATGAGTCGGGAGTGAGGAAAAGTATATAGTGGTTTGGAGAAATGAAATTGTATAACCGCAAGAATGTCTAAGTAAACATCATCATAAGAGGTTTGAAGCTTAGTGTATATATCGTACGTATCGTTACAACGTCTTCTTACCCTCAAAGCATCTTTTTATATGAATGGTTGTAGCATTTTCCCAGTCACCCACAGTACTTATTGTGTCCACACTGTAGCTATTGGTTGTGAAGAACAGGAAACAGACCTCATGCACAGCTATAACAGTCATGTTTACGTCAAATTCTTTCTGCTGCGTTTGATAAAACCAGCATTGTGTTTCGTCGTCTACGATGTTGTTCAGACAGGACGTCCTACAGGCGGCTTCCGCTACGACCAGTGAGACCCGCTTATAAGTTAAGCCTTGCACACTTTCTATAAACACTCGTTCAAACGTACACTCGCCTGTAGTAAAAATATGTACGTAAGACACACATGATTTGGTAATATATACAAAAATGAATAACATTGCAATATACAGCTGTTTAGACCCCCTAAATGCATCGGTGATTCTAGAGGCCAAACATTTCATGGAAGTCTAAACTTGCCGTCGTCGATACAATTTGGTAATAAATACAATAGAGACGCATAACATTGCAACATACAGTTGTTTCTCTATGATTCTTTGGTTAGTCTAGGAGCCAAAATTTAGGTGGACATCTATACTCGTCTAAACTACTGTTAATACAATTTGGTTATTTATACAAAATGTCAAAAATGAAAAACATATTGCAACATACAGCTGTGTAGACCCTCTAGGACTCATCGATGAGGTGGACATCTAGATTTGAGTAAGCTACTGTTGGAACGAATTAGAGATGCGCAAAAGCCCTTAATCATTTATAGAAGCATAAAGATTTATAACATCAATTCGTAATTCACAGTGTCAATATCACCGTGACAATTAGACGACATAGAAATGTTACAACAGGATCGATAAGAGACATACCAATCAAAGACACACAACCAGGTGATTCGATATGGGAACAGTTCATATCAGTTAATGCAGTACATTTAAGCGTAACATCGTTTGTGTGAAAAGATGAAATGTTGACCGATCTAAATACGTAGGAAAGCTGGAAAGACATGCTAAAATTTTGACTCGTAATCAAACATAAAAACCAATAATTCGTGACGTCATTGACATCTTGGTGCTCTGAAGGATGTTCTGTGATATTTGAGGTAGAATACCCGTAGCATTTCTCCCGTACAGATTTGAAGATAATTAAAAAACTGTTTTAGTCTTGGTTTGCGGGCAGTGCTATTTTGATCTGTAAACGAAATCCCCCCTCTCCGACTGTAATATTATCTAGTACAGTCATTTAGAAAAATATATTTTCCGGAAAGGATGAAAATTTCAATGAACATATTGAATGATAAAACTGACAAACGAAGCACGTGAAGATCCTTACTTTAAATAATATCTCTTACCTTGGTCTTTTTCACACAGGGCGCCATATTTTGTAGAACATTGTCGGGTCCTGAACTGTATGTTCTGAATCCGCATGCATTTTTCCTCAAAACAATGGTTAGGTTCACCGCTATACCAGTCCGCCCACTTAAACAAGGGCTCACAATCATTCCAGAAATACCTTGTTTTTGCCGAGCAGTCATCATTATCTCCCCGAATGTGGAGACCAAACCAGTACTGACCCTCGTTTCTGTAACAGGAAAATAGTTACAAGTGTGCCACTCTCTCAGAGGGCAAACAACCCCAAATGTAACCACATCGTTATGTTTGATTGCTACAAGCCACAATTATCTGACAAAACAGAGGTAAAAGTAGCAGATGTTTATAATTTTGAATTCGCCTTTTTCTTCAAATCAGTTTTTGATATAGCGTCGATATAGTTTGCCTACTGTCATGTATTTCAATTCTAAATAAAAAATGATTCACATTTATGATAACACTATTTTAACTATTTATCATTTTTATCCATAAGTTATAAATTTCTAACGTTTTAGTGACACAAATGCAACCGAAATAAATATATTGCACCCATTGCAATATATGAGATCTTTGTATTTCGCTCTATTTCTAACTACTTTCTGTTTCCTAGAGCATTTATTGGCAGTGCTTCACTCTTGTTTTTATGTTGAGCGTTCGTCCAGGTGAGGAAGGCAGTGGGTTCTGTCCCCAGGCCGGGACATACCAAAGTCCTTAAAATGGTAGTTGTTATTCCCTGCTTAACGTTCAGAACTTAGGGAAATGGCAACAACTGGTTTAGCCGTTGTCAGTATAATGTGACTGGGGGGAATGCTGTGCTGGGTGTTTGGTATTACAGTGAGGTAGTAGTATAATGTCGGCATCAGATCTGCGCTGTCACAAGGAGGGAAATACACCAACACACCGCCTCCAGCACACATACACACATGGAGGCATGTCCTTAAAATTACCTTAGCTGTAAATGGGATGTTAAACCGTATAAAAGCAAACCAAATTAACCATTGTTCTCATCTTTAGTACTACTGGTGAGTTCTAACTGGATTAACGTCACACGGCGCAGCAAAAATTACTTTATTTAGCTCTCTGCATCGGCATGCCATCTCTGTAACAAGAGGCCCAATGGGACTGAATCGCTCACCTAGTATTAATCTCACACTTGTAACTTAAAAGTGGACTAAAATACAGCTACAGGCAGAAAATGAGTGTTTGATTCATAAGAACATATTAAAAGATTTAAACATATGACGCCTGTGACCTTGAATGTTGAACAAGGACATTAATTTGAGTTTATAGTCTTCCAACCCAGCATGCTTCTGGCAAAATTTCATTATCCTGGTCCTTTTTGTTATACAGAACAAGTCATTTAAAGTTTTAAACATATATTGACCACTGTGGCCTTCGGGCCAGGTGAGCTAAAAATGTGGATCACACTTCGTATATCTAGTGATAAGTATGGAGTTAGTGCGATATGTATAAATTAGTTTTCTACTCTTGAACTTTGTTCCTTCCAAAATCCATATTAATGAAGCGTAATGTAAGAAAAGAATAATAATAGAAGAAATACGTCAGTTTAAGATGACAGACTACTCACAGAGTATCGTTCCAGGGTGGCTGTCCGTCCAACTGTTTCAACATTGACTGTTCAGCTTGAGTGTCTATCTTAGCAAGATGGCCTCCAATCGCTTCACATTTCACTTTTGCATCGTTCCATGTAAAGTTAGCCACAGTCATAAGGGTATACTGCTTCATGACAGACACGCTCCCATAGATATCTGTAATGGCGAAAGAGAGGCTTAATGCGATGGCATTGAACATGCTGATTGACTCGTGTCTGATCTAGGTGGTGTACCTCAGCTCCTTATAAACACATTGGCGGGATATGGCGACAGTTCAGCATGTGTAGTTGTTTGTCGTCAATAAAATCGATGATAATTTTACAAACGTAGAGCTCAGATTTATATGAAATTGGTCTTTTCCTTTCTGCGTTATCTGAAACCATTCATCCTTCTTACTGACACGCCCTTTTTTGGTGAAAATGGATTTTTTTATTGACGATAAAACCTGGCATGCATGATATTATGTACTTAGCACTCATAGAGATAAATAACCTGCTTACTGAAAAACCCTCTGTACACCCGATGAGCTTATTAATGGTTTGATCATCAATAAATGTTTCAGTCATCTAGGTGTAACTAATGCTCAATATATTTTATAATGAAGTGTATTTTCATGACACAAGGAATTAATTACAACAGTTTATATAATTATTATAAGGTTGTCAAAGTTTCGCAGCGATCCGTTCCGTCATCCTTACACTTTAACGGGAAAACACGCACATTGTACCAGCGTCATTAATAAACGAGTATACGGTTTTACCTAAACGCCATAGCCTGTTGTTTTAACTAATATAGACGCTGTTTTCTAATTTTGTTCTAACGTTTATATGAGTTGTTTATAGTCGTGTATCAATATAGGTAGAGTGACAGGTACAGTGACAGGTACAGTGAAATAGGGAGAAAAAATAACAGCAATGTCAATACACAGGACCAGCTCTGAACACAAAATCTTTTCTGTCAAATCCGAGTATAACGATCAAAGAATACCGAGTAATGACAGAGGCTTTTTTCAGGAATGGAAACTTTGTACCGTTCCATTTATTTTCATTTGCATAATTTTAATAACTTTTATCAACAAGGATTATATTAAGGTTAAAATGTGAAAAATGATAATTTTACAATCAAACAACAACAAAAATTAAAACAAGCAAATTCATCGAATTTATATCCCCCGCCTGCAGGACATATTGTAGGTAAACATTATTGAGGTTAGTTTAAACGTATCGTAACTTGAACGGGGGAAAAACCCTTATACAGAAGTTATAATTTGTATTAAACATGTAGGTATAACGGTGTAAATTAATAGTTTAATCCATCAGAATGTACTAATCTCATTAATTATCCGTAAATATGCACAAAACATATCGGTTGGCAAACTTAGCATGATTCGGAAGTGCATACGGAATTTGGTTGAAATATCTGCACAAAATCTACAGCAATTATCATACGAAAACCATAGAGTGCCCGATATGGGTGGAAAGACAGAAGAACACAAACATTGTTATCAAGTTTGAAGGAATTTGGCTAACATTTGCAAGAGTTATTAAGCGGAAACTGCAGATAATGACGTTTTTCGTTATTCAAGTTGCCATAACTCCGCCAAATAGAGTCCGCTGAAAATGGTCATCGAACTTTGCCGAGCCCTTCAGGCATTTAACCCTGGTACCAAGTTGGAAGAAAATCATTTAAATTTGTTGCAGTTATTGCACGGAAACGGCAGATAATGACGTTTTTCGTTTGTTCAAGGGGCCATAACTCCGCCAAATAAAGTCCGCTGAAAATGGTCATCGAGCTTGGCCGAGCCCTTAAGATATTTAACCCTGGTACCAAGTTGGAAGAAAATCGGTTAACATTTATTGCAGTTATTTCACGGAAACGAAGCGTGACAGACAGAGGGACAGACGGACAAACCCAAATTATTTCCCCCCGTTTCGGTGAAAGCGGGGGATAAAAACGAAAATAGTGGGGAAAACGCATTTCGTGTGTATATATGACGACAGCTTTCAAAGGCACAGTTTAAGTATTGCGGTACATTATTTACAATGATTATTTAACAGCAATTGTGAAGCTGTTTAATGCGAGTAGAATGTAACTGATAAACAAACGCGCGTGACTTAATTAACATCAGACAAGTAATTATATGTTTAACAAACACATAATAACAGGGGTATATAGGATCAATTAACACATTATACTAAGTATAAAAAATTCATCAATTGAAGTGGCCTGCTGACGACAGTGATACCGATCAAACAAACGCGCGATAGTTGATAGTCATTGAACAATAAATTAATACTGTCGGGTGAAGTCAGTTCAGGTCACGGTTCACTTCATCACAAATGAATACCTCGTCCTAGAACAAAACTTATTTCGTGCCGTTTTCGCTTTAACTGCCTTGCTATAATGGCTTTCAATGTGATGCTATCATTGCATTTTAGTAATTTATAGGTGGGGAAAGGACAAAAAACCTTAATTAAATAAAATTGATTATGTCAATAAACCATGTCAGTGAACATTAGGTAGCAGAGTACAGTAGCGCACGGTGGCCATGGGTGATATTTGTATACAATGAATAACCCCTGTAATATAACATGTATCAAAATTAAAAAAAAAATCAGCACTAAAATTGGAATATACATGATGAAGTGGACTATGTGGGCTTCATAATTTTTCAAAAAAGCAAAACGAATTTGGTTTGAGACTACAATTTTGGGCATTTACAAATCTGTGTTTACACAACAAAAGCTAGCGTTTCTTGTAGTCTATTTTTGTACTCAGCACATGTGTAAATACTGAGAAAAATCCATCTGAATGACCTATGCTAAAACATGAGTATTTCTGTTACCGAGTAGGCGATATTTAATTTCAGACAGGTTTTAAGAAAAACAATTCTACTTGCGGGGGTCAAATTCTGGGTTAAAAATCATGATTTTTTGCATATTTTGATAGTTTTTGATGTGGTAACCATGGCTTTCACAAGTCCCAAATCTGGGGAAATCACTTTTTGGAAAAAAAAATGTTCTTCTAAAAAAACCGTATTCAAAATGTAGTTTATAAATATATATATATATGTAGCTGTGTTGTGCAGGATGAATCCGCTATCCATGTTTATCCGAGACATGCCCTTTATTTTAAGGGTCAAGCCATTTCTACTGTACTCTGCCACCTTAGGTATACGCCGTATATCAGTATCGTTATAGCGTTGAGGTGGTCTACGTTTATTTCTGTTGTGAGATTAAACACACCTTACATAGTATCCATTAAAATACGAAAGCCTTTCATAGATCATTGTAAATTACTGTAACATAAACGTTGTCTAGATTTAAGTGAGGGATTCACGGATACCTCAACCCCCGCATATCTACAAAGTTGAAGACCATTAAAAAACAGCGGTTGAGATATGCTTTGGAATTCATTATGTTAGTATTTTTGGTCAAGTTTAAAGGTCGAAACGACGCTAAAGTGATCTGATTTTAGTGCGGGATATACCACCTCCTTAAAATGAACTTACATTCAAAGTTAGAAGCTAATTCATAAAACAGCGGCTGAGATATGCTTTGGTTTATTTTAGTACTTAAGGTACGCGTAAATGGTCAAATTGAGGATACAGTGACCTAATTTTAGAATGCGACATACCACCTTCCCATAATGTACATATATACAAAGTGTGATGCCCATTTCTGAAACATCGAATTAGACATGCTTTTGAAGTAACTATTTTAATACTTTGTCAAAGTCAAAAGTTAAATCGAGGACAAAGAGACATGGTTTTAGGATGCGACACACAACCTTCATATGATGTACATATCCAATTTTCGATGCCCATTAATAAAAAATAACCGACTGAGATAGTATCAAGAAACCGTTATATACATTGTAAGTACTAGGGGTAATGGCTAATGGTTAAATTGGGGTCACAGTGACCTTGTTTTAGGATGTGGCACAACACCTTCCCATGATGTACGTGAAGTACAAAGTTTAATACCCTACATAACAGTCTACATAATTACTATAATATGACAGTCTACATAATTACTACAACATGAAAGTCTACATAATTACTATAATATGACAGTCTACATAATTACTACAACATGAAAGTCTACATAATTACTATAATATGACAGTCTACATAATTACTATAACATGACAGTCTATATATTTACAACAACATGACAGTCTACATAATTACTATAACATGCCAGTCTATATATTTACTACAACATGACAGTCTGCATAATTACTATAACATGACAGTCTACATAATTACTATAACATGACAGTCTACATAATTACTATAACATGACAGTCTACATAATTAATATAACATGACAGTCTACATAATTAATATAACATGACAGTCTATATATTAACAACAACATGACAGTTTACATAATTACTATAACATGACAGTCTACATAATTACTATAACATGACAGTCTACATAATTACTATAACATGACAGTCTACATAATTACTATAACATGACAGTCTACATAATTACTATAACATGACAGTCTACATAATTACTATAACATGACAGTCTACATAATTACTATAACATGACAGTCTACATAATTACTATAACATGACAGTCTACATAATTACTATAACATGACAGTCTACATAATTACTATAACATGACAGTCTACATAATTACTATAACATGACAGTCTACATAATTACTATAACATGACAGTCTACATAATTACTATAACATGACAGTCTACATAATTACTATAACATGACAGTCTACATAATTACTATAACATGACAGTCTACATAATTACTATAACATGACAGTCTACATAATTACTATAACATGACAGTCTACATAATTACTATAACATGACAGTCTACATAATTACTATAACATGACAGTCTACATAATTACTATAACATGACAGTCTACATAATTACTATAACATGACAGTCTACATAATTACTATAACATGACAGTCTGAATAATTACTATAACATGACAGTCTTCATAATTACTATAACATGACAGT